ACCACTAATAGTGTAGTATTTTTATTGCAATATTAAAAGCATCCATGTGGAGCAAGTAAAGAAGGTAAAAATCACTCACAAAGATGGCCGCCGGACCATCATGCAGACGCGATGGTGTGACGTCAGTATGCAGGATGCTTTGACCTGTATGTGGTGGAGGTTGCTACCTTTGCATTTTAAAAAGTAGTGCATGCAGTACTTGTGGTGCGGTGTAATTTCTGTCCATCCAAAATGAATGGGCGCAGATGGCACTGCACAGAACTGCATGTGAATTGCACAGGAACTGCAGAGTATCACTGTGCATATCACATGCAGTTTCTGGTGTGAACCGATACTGAACTAATGGAGTGAGATTAAATGAAGATGAAAAAGTGGGGAGGAGAAAAGGAGAGAAAGAGATGGGGAGAGAGAAAGTAATGGAAAGAGAAAAACAGAGAGATAGGAAAGAGAAAGACGGAAAGAGAGAATGAGATAGAAGTAAAGTTTTAGAATTTAAGAGACAGAGACAGCAAGAGAGAAGGAGTAGAGAGCAAGAAGGAAAGTGAGAGGAGGAAAGAGAATAGGAGAGGAGAAGAGAGAGCGTTTAATGATTTCACTGGGGGGATGGAAATAAAAGGTTGTAATATATTCTTGCAAGTGTTTTTACATTCTACACTGGGGTCTGCGTACAAGTAATAAAAATCATTTGAGAGGTATACCTAAATGTGGACAGCTTCTCCAAAATCTTTTGAATTACCCTCTCAATATGTAAATAAAGATCTGAAATAAGTTTAAGTATGTTGGCATGCGGTGGAAGCGGTGGTGGCCCCCAAGTCAACTTTTGCATCGGGGCCCACAAGCTTCAAGTTGAGCCTCTGCCCTCATCTACTGACTGGGCAATGAAAGAGCAGCAGCAAACAAATTCTGCCATCACTTTGCTCACTCCCTCTCCTTTGCTATCCAACCAAACTTTTACAGCAATAAATGTAGATCTTTCATCTTCAGGTTTGTTACAACACAGATAATCCTTGCTTTAATGAGGTCAAAAAAGGTGTAAGGCTTGTGAGACTGGTCCTTCACATCTTAAAGCTGGAAAAACAAAACAAGCAAGTGAAGAATTTAATGCAAGGCATTTTATGCAAATCTATACATAGTATTTCTAACTGGTGACCTGCATAAAAATGATGTAACAGAATGGCACAGTAGTTAAGAGAACTGTGGCTTTGTGCCTCTGTGATCAAAGGATTTGTGTGGGTTTCCTCAAACTGTTCAAAAAGACAGTGGCAGGTCAGTTTGCCTCTGCTTAAAGTGGAATGTGTAAAGGTTTGTGGCTGTGGAGACTGTGGAAGCAGCAATGTCAAATGTGCAGTATTCTCTGGGAGTTTTTCATCATATAAAGAATATAAAACTACTATGAATAAACAAAATGTACATAGCTAGAAAAAATGTGTAATGTCCAAAAGAACACAATTTCCATTTGTAGCATAACTATATAAAGCAGCTTCCCACATAAAGACAGCAAATTTCAGTTTCCTAACAGACAGAAAAAACAAAGTTAGCCTTCACAATCCCCATGGGGCTCCTAAATTACAATTTCCAGATGTGTTTCTGGCTGGCTTACTGCAATGTAGAAACATGGTATGGGACCACATTAAATGTCAACTGGCAAAGGATTCCTAGGCATTGAAAGAAGCGTGAAGCTTTGCTTACATATGCCCAGGAGCATGGAAACAGTACCATATTTGTCAGGGTTTTGGAATAAAATGTATTTGTACAGCTCTATGTCTCAATACAATCTATTATAAGAGTAAAATATACAATGCAAAGGGAAATAAAAAAAAAAAAAAGACCTTAGTAAGACATTTTTTAGATATACATTCTGTTACATGTTTTTAAAAAGTACACACTGACATGCAACACATATGTTTTGCAGTGTGCCTGTATTAAGATCGTTGGGGGTTTACCGTGTATACCTCAGCATGCAATTCAAGGTATGCCACTAGTATTTACTGTATACACATTGGATACGTTTTATACAATTACCTGAGCTGCACAGGAAAATGAACCAAAGAGTAACAAGAAATTATTATTATTATACAGGATTTTATATAGCGACAACAGTTTGCTCAGTGCTTTACAATATAATGGGAGACAATACAGCAACTATACAGTTCAATACAAGAGGGATAGGAGGGCCCTGCTCCTTGGATCTTACAATCTAGGAGGTAAATTTAGTGTGTAATCACACAGACAAAAAACTAATTTAGAACTACTGTATCACTATGCAGCCAGATAATTGAACACGATCTGCAAGAAGTCTGCATTCTGGGGTATTCGTCTCTCCTTGGGTGTTTAGTTCCCTAAATGTTAGTACCACCCGGTGCATCCTCCTGCCATGTACAGCCACAGCAGCTTTCAGCCACTCAGAGGTTTACAGGCGGCTGGTTGATCCACCTGTGTGAGCTGCCCATTCAAAAAACACCGAAATCACATGCACAGGGGCTAAACACCAAAATTCCCCTAAACACTGTGAGGTAAACCACAGCCTTCCTAAGCGAAAGATATTTATATTACATCATCCATTTCATTACAGATATGATTTAGGCCTGGTTCACACTTGTGCAATTTCAGATGAGACTTGAGTCACACAAAATCGCTTGACAAGGTAAATCACATGTTTCCCATGGTGTCCATTCACATCAATGTGACTGGGCCCAGAGTGATTTTGGAAAAGGTTCCTGTACTACTTTCGTGTTAATCACAGTACAGTTTTGGCCCCACAGAATATGCAAACCACATCCAAGAAGAGTCCAAGTAGCACTACATAATGGTACTGAAAGGTAGATCAAAATCAATTCTCAGCAGTATGAACCTAGCCTTAAATTGTGGGTTTTTTTTCATTTTGTATAGAATGTGGAAAGGTTAGAACCTCAGTCAGGTTTTTGTATCTGTCTGTGTTCCCAGTAGTTCATCCTCACTAGTTGTCCTACTGACCATTGTAAACAAGAATGGAGAGAGAAATTAAAGTATTAAGTTGATGCAAAACCAGGGACTCAGATGAAATCTTCCGAATGGGAAGATCTACCACTGGGGAGATCTCCCTTTATTTCCAATTTGGGGGCAGAGACAATAATAAAAACACATTTTTGTCTGTAAAAATAATGAAGATCTTCTGCACTACTATTACGTGATAAATTAGGTAAGTGGGAGCTGCTAGCACCTAACCATATACCATGTGGAAAAAACACTAACGAAACCAAAATGATGCAGTGCTAACCTAATAATAAAATGATACAATATGGCAAAAAACAAGCAAAGTGACATAAAATATATATATATGTGACAAAAAATCAGTGGATTGATCCTCTCTGGGGATCTCAGTATAAAGTGACAAAATATATATACGTGCCAATAAATCAGTGGATTGATCCTCTCTGGGATCTCAAGTGAAAAAGTGATCACACCTGGTATAAAAAACCAGGAACCAATACCCCCACTATCCAAAATAGGATCATACACAAAATAAAATAAAACACAAATAAGCATGAATCCCTAAATAGGGATCAATAAATTCATGTAAATGATGGTGAAAATGAGAACGTGAACTCCTAACAGGGATCAACAAGATCATGCAGATCGTAACAAATAATGGCTAAATTAAGCCAAAAAGTAAATAGTGACATAAAATGGATCCCTAAATATAGGATCAATTAAATACAATAGTGCCAAAAAACACTGTATTTTTCTTTGTACTCCTCACATTTGCAACCCATGCAGTTTTGAAGACATCAGTTCCAAAAACATTTATCTTGGTCTCATCACTCCAGAGTGCAGATTCCCAGTAGTCTTCTTCTTTTTGAGCATGGGCCTAGGCAAATTCTAAGCAGGCTTTTTTGTGCACAGGCTTTAGGAGAGGCTTCCTTGGTGGAGGACACCCATGCATGCCATTCCTCTGCAGTGTATTCCATATTGTGTTATGGAAAACAATTAGCTTTCTACTTCTTTAGCTAACTGCAGTGAAATTGTATGACAATTTTCTTCAACCCTTCTCATCAGAAGACGCTTCTGTCGAGGTGTTAACTTCCATGGACGGGGCTGGACGTCTCTGTGACATGGTTGCAGTTCCATCTTTGTTAAATTTTTATATCACTTTTGCTAAAGTATTCTGACTGATAAGTAAAGTTTTGATTTGAATAGATTAACTTGTAAGGAATATGTGATAACAGTATTGTTATGGGAAGAAGTATCTGAAAGCAGTAGGTTTTCACTGGCTGAAATATGTGTCTGGTTACACTCCAGAGCACAGTAACTTGAATCTCCACTCTTTGGCCCCCACCATCTGCAGCGACAGGTTAAACAAAAGTATATCCATCTTTGCCTAAAAGAGAGGATGATTTGTTTTCTCCTCAGACCTTCAAGGACAGACAGACCATCACAATCTCCCTTACCCTAGGTTCACATCTGTGCGGGTGGTGCTGCTGTGGATCCGCATGAAAATCTGTGCAGCTGCACCACCCCACACAGAGAAATGCGGACCCGCGGGCAGGTGCCATTAGTTCTAATGGCACACCACCTGCACTGGAAAATGCAACCGTACTGGGAACCGAGGTTCCCGTGCGGGCTGTGTTTTCGGAAGAAGTGCAGTGACTTCTTTCCCTGCGTGTCACGGACACGGGAGTCCATTCAAATGAATGGGCTCTCGTGCCCCTGCAAAACGCGGCCCGCACCGCCGCATAGATGTGAACCGGGGGTTAGTTCAGGCAGAAAAACACAGAGTCCTGATAGTACAGAAAGAGAGAAGGGAGGGGTAGAGAAAGGAGGAGAGGAGAGCCATACAAGACCGACAGTGTTCACAGCAGAACATGAAATTAATAATTGACAGAATTTTGGGATATGACAACAAAGGTATCTACAATATATGTTCTAGTTGATCCTGGAAGCCTGGCAGCCACTCATCTATGGCTGAAGGAAGACATTTACAGTTTTTTTTTTTTGGTTTGAAAATTTTATTTCTGATATTCCTAGAAAGTTAAGCAGTCTTGGCAGCCCGAGTGTGCTTCTTTTTCACCACAACTGGCTTCTGACTTCAGGATAGCACTGGCATGACGAAGAGCCGTCATATGAAGATCCCTCCTGTAGTTATCCTTGCGGATAATGTGGCGCAAGCTGCTGAGGGTGGCACAGGAGATTTTGTTAATTATGATCTTCTCATACGATGAAGCAGGTTTGCGAAGACCAGCACACTTTTCATGAGCAGCAGGCTCAACACCAACTGTTTTCTTGTGAATCAGACCATTGTAGCGAAATGCGTTCCTGGCCTTCAGATTGTTTGGCTCTGTCCTGTACACCTGCTTGTTTTATTTTTTTTGATCAGGAAATTGGAGCAGTTCCTGTTGACCATCCACTGCAAATGAGCAGACATTTTCGGCACCTCACTCTGCTCAGCCTGGAAAAGGAAAAAGGATTCACAGAGGGCCATGGAATATACAGCCAGAAAACTCACGTAGCTTTAGGGCAATCTGGCCCAGGTTAACTGTTTGTTGGCCAGAGTAAAACGTAACAGCAGTTGTGTCTCTACGTTAACTTGGACAGAATAAAAAAAACTTTGCTTAAATAGATCACAGTATAATGCTGTGTATCATGTGGAATGGAGGTAATCAATGAAGGCACATCTGGGACGATGGGTGCAATTGGAACAATGAGATTGTTAATGGCCCTGAGATCTTGCACTAAACGGTAAGTACCATCAATCTCCTTGTGACAAAGGATACTGCTTTTGATATACTGGACTAACTCGATGTTTGAGTCTGGCCTTGTAAGGTATACAGAGATATACCCTACATCTAACTTACTGTTGGCACAGACTTCAGACTTTACTTTGTCTAAATCTTTCATGCTCACAAAACAGTGAGGTAACTCCAGGTGCACCCCTCCCTTCTCACTTATTCTGACTGTGGCCTTGAATTTTCCCAACAGATCTCTGACTAGCAAATTCACAGGGCATCCTGATATGATTTTGAAAGAATGTTTCACTATGGAACCTTTCCCGTGAGAGTCTGAAATACTCAAAGGGGGGTGTTTCCCAGGTTTTGGCACATGTCCCAGTGATACCATCTGAAGGTTCACATTCTACTCTTGTTACCTCTTTCTGTTGCTACCTCTTTCTCTAGGATTATAACTATGTTGTAACCCCTGAAAATGTGCTTTATTGGTAGATTTGGTGACCTCAAAACATCCAGCGGTGTCTTTTTCCATCACTTGTTTTTCAAACGTACCCGCATCCATCTCTGTCCAGTTTGAAATAAGCTGTCTTATTGACAGCAAAATCTCAGGTCTTTATCTTACCATCAAGGTTTTGATATATAGTGCACATTTCTGCACTAATCATATCCATCCCAGCTTCTTCCTTCCAAACTTTTCTAAGTCTTTTCACATACTCTGTCACTGTCTCTTTTGTTCCTTGCTTACAAACAACAGCAGTTGCTAATGATATCCTACTCTTCCATATTCTCTCCATCTCGGCTGTCACCTCCTCTCACACCTTTCTCTAAATGTCTTCCTTCAGCCATACAGGAGTGGCTGCCAGGGTTCCAGGATCAACTAGAACATATATTGTAGACACCTTTGTCCATGTCATATCCCAAAATTCTGTCAATTATTAATTTCATGTTCTGCTGTGAACACTCTCTGTCTCATATGGCTCTCTTCTCCTCCCTTCTCTACCCCTCCCTTCTCCCTTTCTGTTCTATCAGGACTCTGTGTTTTTCTGCCTGAACTAAGGGCGATTGTGATGGTCTGTCTGTCCTTGAAGGTCTGAGGAGAAAAAGAAAATCACCCTCTCTGTTAGGCAAAGCTGCATATACTTTTGTATAACTTGTTGGAGCAGATTGTGGGGGCTAAAGAGTGGAGATTCAAGTTACTGTTCTCTGGAGTGTAACCAGACACGTATTTCAGCCACTGAAAACCTGTTGCCTTCAGATACTTCATCCCATAACAATACCATTATCACATATTCCTTACAAGTTAACCTAGACAGTTCAGGATTTATTGTCTTTTTCTTTTTTTTATTTTCAGCAATATCACTTAACACTTTACGCGGAAGCTTACCTGACCATTCACACCTTTAATCCCACTTCCCGACACCAGATTGCTAGGATTCAACCTATGTCTGTAGCCCCCTATCCTGCTTATTTTCACCCTCAGGCCTGGGAGAAATAAAGCTCCAGACACCGAAGTGTGCAAGCTAAATGTCTGAAAGTTTAAGGCATGACAAGAACGGTTATACAGAACTCAATAGGCATTGCTTAATGTCAGGATGACCAATGAAGCATTCCATTCTTATCAATATAGTTACGTGAAGAAAAGGAACTACTGTACATATAGTTGAGGGATACCATATAAGGTAGTTCCGTTTACAGAAATGAAACTAGTCTAAGAAAACAAGGGAGAAATTACAAAACCGAAACTAACTGTTCACACGTCTAGAAATGGAGGCATTCTACAAAATGGATGCCAGTTAATGACATATTTCCTTACAATCTTCTTGTAGCCTTCACCTTTCTTTTGTAAATAATTTTTTTTTTCTCAGGCCATGTGACATTTCTCTTCCATGTGGTGCCATTGTTGACAGCATAAAATAGGAAGGGGTTTTCTTTGTTAAGTAACGCCCTTTAATAATTAACTGTCTGCTGGATACCTGTTTAATGAATAATTAGACTCACCTGTAGTTGAATTCTTGTTAATTAGGTTTTTGTTGGCTAAAATGTAGCTTTGCTCCTAAGACTTTGATTGGGGTGTATTCAATTTGGCAACATGGTCTTGAACAAATTTTTTAGGAAAAATACTTTTTTTTGTGTGTGCAAAATAACAAATCTTGTTTGCAATCAATGGTCTGCATTTGTGGAAGTATATTGTAGTATAGTCTCCCACAGAAAAATGTTGATTCTAAAAGGAAAGGAAAGATTTTCTGACAAATCTGTTGGGGTGTACTCATTTATGCTGAGCACTGTACATAGTTATACTGCTCCAAGCTGGACCAATGTAACTATATACAATATAGCCATGCCTGGAACTATTAATTGGATATTAAAAATCACACAGTTTGGCCCATTTGATTTGAACAGCTCTGCCTGACTTCTCCACTCTATTAAAAACTAAAAATTACACGTTTTTGCTGGAGGGCAAAGCAATTGGTTCACTTATCTACTCTGTCCTCCCAGCAGCTCTTACTCACCTTCCATATAACACACCTTTCCATTTGGCCCCTTGAAGACAAAGGTAAGCACTGTGTACTTCTAAGTATGGGGAATATGTGAGAGCACCATTTTATTGTTTTTAACCACACTTCATAGAAAACATTCTGCGCGTGCACACAGCGCCCTAGTCTGTGTTGACGGCAGATCATACACCCATCAGCGCAGCTTCATCGTTTAATACTACGCTGAATGCTCACAGCTTGTTTCAGCGAATCAAAGACTGTCACTGCTCTTCTTATCATCACAGCTGCCAGTGTAACAGCAACTGGTTGCATGAACACTTATTCTCCTGCAAAGGGCTGTCAACCTTACCCAGCTCCTTCCCAGATCGCGCTTTGCGCATGCCCGCAAGGCCGCACTGTGGCGAGATCTGTCACCAGCTGTGTACCTCGGACACAACCTATGACAGATCTATGTACTGGCCCTGTTGCCAGTACCATGTGACCTGCTGTGACCAATCACAGCAGGTCACATGACAGTTGTATACGATGGATGGCTTCCTTTCATGCCATCCATTGTATACAAGTGTGGCTAGCTGTGAATGGTCACAGTGATCACATGCACAGGCTGGGCCAATCACAGCCCACCTATGTCATGTGATTAGCTGTGGCCAATCACAGCTAATCACAAAAAAAAAAAAAAAACCTGAATGCATCGATTTCATTCAGTTAAATGCTGGCTTATAGTAAAGAAATTCTTTGCTATAAGCAATCAAATTGTGTTAAAAAAAAATACTGATCGCTTCCCCAAAGTAGTTCAATGTTACTATAGTAACATTATACTTCTTTGGTCATAGTGTAATATGAAAAAAAAATCTTAAAAAAAATAAAAAAAAGTAATAAAAAAAAAATAATTAAAAAATAAAAAAAATTATAATTTTTTTTTTTTTCGTACGGTCACAAGTGTCCCTGATTACCGCCACACCAGTTATATGATGACGCTGTACTGCACTGGTGACAGTATGTAAAAAAAAATTGTGAAAATTATTTTTTTCAATTCTTCATTTTCCGATAAATTATGACAAAAAAATTACAACTTCAAAAATCTCGCCATGCCTCTTATGAAATATGTCGGACTGTTTACTTGGCAAAAAGGGGTCATTTGGGGGAAATCTGTACTGTTCTGACATTTTTGGGCCTCAAGAAATTAGATTGGCTGTCAGTACTTCAGGACTGATCAATTTTCAGATATATCCCATAGTTTGTGAACTCCATAATTTCCTACAGACTAAATAATAAATACTAATATGGGTTATTTTCACCAAAGACATGTAGCAGAATACATCTTGGTCTAAATTTATGAAGAACAATTATTTATTTGCAAACTTTTATAACAGAAAGAAAGAAATGTGTTTTTTTTTTTCAAAATTGATACATGTTCACGCAGCAAACGATTCATATCCTGTTATAGTAAATATGTAGTATATTTACTACAATGCCCTTGCCAGAAACAATATGTGGGCAGGACAACAAGACGTTTACGTGACCGGCTGCGTGAACATGTATCAAACATCAAAAAAGGATTTAGGGAACATTCGTTGTCCAACCACTATCGTGGAGTATGCTCCACGACAGGAGTATACTATTCCATTAATTCCCTGGGGTCTGTGGCTGACTACCTTACAGCTACTAGGATGGGAAAGCAGAGGAATCTCCTAACCCTCTCTATACTATTTACAATATCGCGGATCCACGGCAAAATGGCGTTTCCGTTTACGCGCATGCGCACTGCGGGCTCTACGGGAAGATGGCCACGGCTAATTGCGCATGCGCCGTCTTTCTCTATATAATGCATTGACGTCAGTCAAGCCTCTGTACAGCCTCTCCTCTGATGATGTGCCTGTAGCACCAAAGGCCTAAGGAGGAGCTGTGCAGAGCGTGATGTCATTTTCACCGCCGGAGCCACGAGGAGGCCCGGTGGCCATCTTTATTGGGGTCAGTACTGCTGTCTTTCACTTCTTAATCTATGTTGTGATGTGCATACTGCCCTGTTGTGCTGTTGACCAATAAAATTTATCAAAGAACATACTACACTATCTCTGGCACCTGTTTCTTGGGGCTCCT